TATTATGGGACATTGAGCTTTATAAATAAAAACGTTTGGAAGATTGCTTTCACTCTCTGACAGACAGGCTACTTTTTGTCTGTTTATATGGAGTTAACTCAACCTAGATTAGCTATATTTCTTTAATTACTTTATTGTTATTTAAGTATTTACATTAGCAAATGGTGGCTGCACAGGACATAGCCCCAATTATTACAGCTACAATATAACAACCGGCCTAGCTTGGTTTTTCAATTTATGTGAGACTGTTGAGGCAAGCATGGGCATGCTGGAACAATTAAAGCAGCTGAGCAAAAAACTATATTCACACAAGCAAATCTCAAAGTCATGCCACCTAGAAACATTAATTGATCGAGCCATTTGAGGTTTAAATGTGTAAAAAAATATTAAATACAACATATTGTCATGATCCATCATCACCTTAAGCTCTAATCCTATTTGAGCTGCCATTAATTACCAACTGAACTACTGGAGATTCAGGGATATTTTATAATTGACCAGGCAGACAATAGAAACTTAAAGTAATCTGGCATCACTACCTACCAATATGCCTTAGTTATATAAACCTTCTTTCCTCTTGGGCTGGCCTGCCTGGCCAAGACTCTTTTCCAAGCCTTAGATCTTGGATAACAGCTGGGCATTAAATAATTAATACATAATTCACATCAATCTATTGATATAAATAACATTCCTTTATTTTCTTAGGGGGTGTTTATATATGGAGGGCAGCCAACCCAGATACCCGAGCTAGCTTGCTTTGCCGAGATCTAACATTGCTATGTAATTTATACTAACATTTATCTTGTGTTTAAATGGGAACCGAGCTGGCCTGCCTAGGTGAGATCTTGGAAAATAAAAATATATTTCTTATATTATACTATTTATAGCGGTAAGACCAGTGATTTGTTTTGGCAGGACAGCCTACCTCAAGGGTCTAATGCAAACATGGGATAAAATCAGCTCGGCAAAGAGAGCTAGCTCGGGTGCATGGGCTGGCTCACCTCCATATAAACACCCCATTAGAAGATTTCAAAGTTAAAATTTATTTTGAAATCTCTTCTGAGGGATAAAACCTTCAAAACTTTATTGTTGACAAAAATTTCAGGTAGACAGTATCCAGGAAAATTGCCTTTTCAAATTGTAAGGCCAAAATTATGTACATAATTTCAGTAATAAATAAAATAAACAACCGTTTACCAATGAAAAGTGAGAGTCTTTATGGATATAGTGACAGTCTTTGCAATTTCACATCATGATGAGCCAAAAAAAACAAAAGTTGATGCAATAAAGAATAATATATTAATTCCTAATTATTTACAAACATGTACCAGTACCTTTCGCATTTATATTGTGAAAAAATATCTATATTTTTATTTCATTTCTGTATATTTTTCTCAGAAGAATGATAACAAACTGCGTAATACCGCGTGCAACCCCCCTGCTAAGAGACTTGGACTAGTACAATAAATGTATATAACATGAAGTTTCCTGAACAAAATGGCGGAAATTTAATAAAAAATGTTGATGTTTGATCGTAAAATACAAAAAAACTGCAGGTTTGTGCGAGTTACAACAACTGAATTCGTACTCAGCGTATCAAAATCTATAGATTTATGTAAACTAAAAGTATTCCCCGAATGGGGGCAACGAAAATTGTTTTCTAAGCGACTTTTGGGGTCACAGAATACGGCCTATAAGCTTTATACGTCTTCCGACGCCGATAAAATAAAGTATTTCGCATTTCGTACTATAGCAAGAAGAGACTACAAACCGTTAATTGCAAGCGATGGCGCCGTCGACAAAACATCAACAAAGGTAATATAAATGATTTATGATATTGAGATGTAATCCTTTGTAATCCGTCATGCATATCGTTTTTGCTTAGGCCAAAATTAGCATATAAACCTTTCTTGTATAAGCAGTAATAATTTATTAGCGTGAATATAAATCAATTCTTCATACAATTATAAAAATAAATACTGGAAGTTACGTTCGCAAGGGAAGTTCAAGTGCTGCCTTGAGTCGACCTACAGCAGTACAGTGACACAGTGAGAGTGCATGCACCCTTGCCATGTTCACAAATGTTGTTAATTATTAGCCATAATATCAACGGTATATACAAGCCATTTATGATTTTTATGGCCCATAAAAACCATAAATTATGGGCACCTGCTGGACAGTCGTACGTGCATGCGACGGTTTGAAGGTGTCGCGTGTTAGTATTGTATAAAACAATGCCCTTAACTTCCAAGACAGATTTACACGCTGATTTAAAACATATGCTATTGATAAATTTCCAGTGTCTTATTAACAAATAACAAATCGGCAGAAACAGATCAGATCGCAGAAATAATCATGATAGAATCGAGACAACTGCATGTTGCCGGCATGTACTGATGTACAGTTATGGTTATTGGTTTATAAATTGTTTTAGAGAAATAAAAAATGAAACGAAAGTATAAATCAGGATCTGCAAAAAGGGCGGAAAAAAGATGATGGGTTAACTTTGATTTCAATAGAGAACAAAGAAATAACTCAAACATTAAAAGATAAAGTCATTAATCATTTTGCTTTTGTTAATGCTAGAAGGAAGGACAGATTTTCTCGATAAACTTCGTAACTTTGTATAGGGTTTTTAGCATATTATCAATTTTCCATTTAATTGTTGTGTTTACTCGTAGGACGCGCGAGTCCGAACTTTTTTGTGTAGGCCGGGTTTTCCAGTCCGAACTTCGTACTGATAGGGATTTTGATATATTGTCAATAAAATACAAATATTATTTGTGTTGAGGATTCTTTGGAGGCATAATCTCAACAATGTAATGGATTGGAGTCCATTCTGTAACCAAATATTATGTAAATGAGGATTGCTGTTGTGTAGACATAAGTCGTAAATTCAGCCTATTTTTAGTGGAGCAAAGGGGGGGCCAAAAGTGGCCGATTGACGGAGGGCCCCCAGCGGTCGTGTTACGCCACTGGGCACAGGAAATTTACCATCATCTCGAAGGTCTTAATCTTGCAGATCTTAATACTGGCGAAGAAGAGTTAGAAGTTGATATTTTGGTGGGATCTGATCAATATTGGAATTTAATAACTGGAGCAGTTAGACGAGGAAATTCTGGACCCAACGCAATGAGAACAAAAGTCGGCTGGGTTCTATCTGGTCCTGTAACAGATCCTGTGAGTGAGAAAACCAGTGTTAACTTGGTGAACACGCATGTTTTGAAGTTTGCAACACAACCACTGACCCCTGATGCAACAGATATGACACAAGAATTACGAAGATTCTGGGAACTAGAATCATTAGGTGTTTTCCCCAATGACGAGTAAGTCTATGAGAAATTCATACAATCAATCAAGCTGAAAGATAAACGGTACGAAGTGGAATTGCCATGGAAGGAATCTCATCCTGTTCTTCTTGACAACTACCAACTGAGCGAAAAACGGTTGAAGCATCTACTAACACAATTGAGAAAGGATCCAGAGATACTGCAAGAGTATGACAATGTCATAAAGGAGCAACTAAAGGAAGGAATTGTGGAAGTGGTCGATGAGCAACACCCTGGAGAAATTGGTAAGGTCTATTACCTTCCGCACCACGCAGTAATACGAAGAGACAAATCCACAACGAAGATGAGAATTGTATATGATGCCTCGGCAAAGGACAATGGCCCATCTTTGAACGACGGTCTATATACAGGTCCTGCATTGGCACAGAACATACTTGATATTCTTCTTCGGTTCCGTTGTCACAAAGTCGCTCTTGTTGGGGACATTGAGAAGGCCTTTCTTATGCTGCAGATCCAAGAATCCGATCGAGATGTCCTACGGTTTTTATGGGTGGACGACATTAAAAATCCCAACCAACGATTACAACGCTACGGTTTACAAGAGTGGTATTTGGAGTTTCCTCAAGCCCTTTCCTCTTGAACGCAACAGTTAAGCACCATATGGAACAGTATCGAAACATTGACCCAGAATTTGTTGAAAAATTCCTTGAATCCATTTACGTTGACGACTTAAACGCAGGTGATGAAAACGACGATGAAGCGTTCCTGCTTTACAAGAAATCGACGCTTCGACTCGCAGAAGGAGGATTTAACTTAAGAAAGTTCTTTTCGAACTCACCTACATTGATGAACCGAATAAATGAGAATGAAGTCCAATTGCTTGCAGACTGCAATGATGAACAAGATACCCTCCAAACCAGTGAAGATATTAATCAAGGCGAATCGAGATCAAGCCAAACTTTGAGAATGGAACATGACCAGTCATACACAAGGAAGACAACTGGTAACTTGTCTGAACCAGTCGAGAAATGCGAACAAAAGATTTTAGGAGTTAAATGGAACTATCAAGAAGACTGTTTCGTGTTCGATTTGGGACCAATTGCTCAGGCAGCAAGGGAATGCGAACCAGCAAAGAGGAACATCATCAGTATCGCATCGAAATTCTATCATCCTCTTGGATTTATCTCACCCATTATTGTGCAAATGAAGGTATTATTTCAGTCATTGTGTGACAGTGGAATTGAATGGGATGCACCCATAACCGAGGAACTGAAATCAAAGTGGTTAAAACTTGTTAATGATTTGCAAGAAACGAAACCAATGACACTGCCTAGATGCTATTTCGTGCACATTAAGGAGAAGGTCTTAGCTCGCCAACTTCACGGGTTCTGCGATGCCTCAATTTCAGCTTATGCAGCTGTGGTGTACCTTGTAGTTACGACCACAACGCGGAGATATGCAACATTTGTCACAGCGAAGACAAGAGTAGCACCGAGCCAGAAACAAACGATTCCAAGACTAGAACTCTTATCTGCAGTTATCCTTTCACGACTTATGAAGAATACCTATGAAGCACTCAAATCTGTTCTAGAACTGGATGAAAATGTTGTATGTTGGACAGATTCGTTGGTCAGCTTATATTGGATAAGAGGCGAAACGAAAAAATGGAAACAGTTTGTCCAGCTGAGAGTTAATGAAATTCGAAGCCTTATCTGTTCATCATCATGGCGACATTGCCCTGGCGTAGATAATCCAGCAGACATCCCAACTCGAAGCATCAAGTGTTCAGAACTCGGACAGTGTGAACTCTGGCGAAATGGACCCCCATGGCTGTCAGAAGAATTGCAACCTAACGACGAATTGATAGACGAGCCTTCACCTTCGGGAGAATGTTTACGAGAGCTGAAGAAGAAGCCACACCAATCACCAACTGCGCTGTTAACCGAAGCGACAGGTCAAAGTGTAAAGAAATTAATTAACATTGCAACATTCTCGAATTACCATCGGCTTCTAAGAGTTACGGTGTATGTACTAAGATTTGTTCGAAAATTGAAGGCCAACGTGAAGAGAAGAGCTGATAAATCCCAAGAAAAGTTGAAGAATTCTTGGCTGGAAGAGATAAACGAAGCTGAAACGCTCTGGCTAAAGGAAATGCAAACATCACTTCCCGGACATTTGAAGTATCAAGATTGGAGACGGCAGTTTGGAGTATTTGTCGACGAGAAGGGGATAACTAGATGCGGTGGAAGATTGGAAAATGCCAATATTCACGAGTCAGCGAGGCATCCTATCTTGCTCGATCCACGACATCAGCTAACACGTCTTATCGTAAGATATTGCCATGAAAGAGTGAAGCACTGCGGAACGAAGGCAACCTTGACTGAATTACGGTCGCGGTTTTGGATAGTTAGAGGCCGACAGTACATACGAAGCGTCATCTACCAATGCGTCGTCTGCCGAAAACAAGAAGGAGAACCCTACCTTGCGCCACCACCTCCTCCATTGCCAGAATGTCGCGTGAAAGAGGACTTTCCGTTCGCTAACACTGGCGTAGATTTCGCTGGACCGTTATATGTAAACAATCCTGATTCGAAGGTATGGATCTCACTGTACACATGTTGTGTAACTCGAGCGGTACACCTCGACCAGGTGCCTGATATGTCAACCGAAGCCTTTCTAACAAATTTTCAGAGATTTTGCGCTAGAAGAGGAGTACCATCACTGGTTATATCAGACATTGCAAAAACCTTCAAATCGGCTTCGCGAAAGCTTATATCTCTATTTGAATGCCCAAGAATAATTAACCATTTCACCTCATCAAAGATCAAGTGGCCATTTACGCTCGAAAAGGCCCCTTGGTGGGGTGGATTCCACGAAAGAATGATCAAATCAGTGAAACGATGTCTACGTAAAACACTAGGGAACGCGCAACTTACGTATGAAGAACTCCCTTACGGAACTTGTCGAGATAGAAGCCATTCTGAATTCGAGACCACTAACATATACATCAACAGAAGATTGCGAAGAACCCGTTACACCATCACATCTCATGCATGGTCGAAGACTTCTTTCCTTGCCAACGCAAGACGAAGTGGAAGACAAAGATTGGGAACCAACGTCAACGGATATTGCAAACCGTGAAAGGCACTTGGCTTCTCTACTAGATCACTTCTGGAGAAGATGGAAAACCGAGTATTTATTGGAATTGAAAGAAGCGCATACAGACAGAAAATCGGTACAATCGAATAAAGAATTGATAAAGATAAATGATATCGTAATCGTGCATGACGAAAACCGTTCTCGAAGTCTTTGGCGACTTGGCAGAGTGATGCACTTAGTTCGTGGTAACGATGGTAAGGTTCGTGGAGCTAAAGTGAAAGTCGCTGAGAGGGCAAGAAACCAACAACGCTTCGACGTCCTATACAAAAGCTGTACCCAATCGGTAATCAGGACATAACCCAACAGAAAGTAGACATGGACTCAACGACAATCCAACCACAGAAAGAAGAGTCTATAACTCAGAGACCTCGACGCGCAGCAGCAGTCAAGGCCACAGAGAAACGAAGAGAATTGATACGAACAGTTATAAACAGAAATTAGTCGATCACCACTTGGGTGATCAACGGGGGGAGTGTGCTATACTTTATGTTAGATTTATATATTGAAACAATGAACCGCATATATAACTGGACAGTAGATTATCACGTGACCTTTTGATGTTGTTCAAGATGGCGTGGGAATGTAATAAGTAAACAGTTTATATTCGCTTTATATTTGGAATACTGACTAAAGTTTGTACATACATATAATTATATTAAATGGCTATTGTTATACACATCTTCGAATCCTGATCTACGATATTCAATATGAAAACATACACACATACACACATACACATATACACATATATATATATATATATATATATATATATATATATATATATATATATATATATATATATATATATATATATATATATATATATATATATATAGCTATATACATTTGCATTTTATAATAATTAAAATAGTACTGATTAGTGATTATTACCTCCGCCAGGAGGTTATGTAATCATCTGGGTTTGTATGTGTGTGTGTGTGTGTGTATGTGTGTGTGTATGTGTGTGTGTGTGTGTGTATGTGTGTGTGTGTGTATGTGTGTGTGTTTGTCTGTGAGCACGATAACTCAAGAAATACCAAACATATCCGTACGAAATTTTTTGAATGCATTTCCCATCGGCTAAGGAAGAACTGATTAAAATTTGGTTGAATTTGGTTAAAAATTGAACGAGAAATGAACAAAATCTTGTCTTGCTTTTCCCGGTCAATTAACAAAATATATTACTGAATGCGTAATTAGGACGTGTATAATTTATGCACTCAGTGCTAAGACAGTAATGAGATGATAAACCTCATTAAGCTTCGGCCTTCATTAGCTATTGTCTTAGTTG